AAAAAAAAAAAAAAAAAAAAAAAAGCCAAACTTACAGTCTGAGTATAAGCCTTAGATGCTTCTTAGAAGGAAATGGCCATCTGGGAGAATGGGCCCAAGCAATGCGGCAATCTCAGGAGAAAATTCATCTTATTTAGCCCATCTAAAGACACTAAGCAGAAGGGGAAAGTCCACAATTTCCTGGATTTTTCCTATTTATAGAATTAAAAACTGCCTGCATGAAGCCAGGAGGGGTGGCGCACGCCTTTAATCCCAGCACTTGAGAGGCAGTGGCAGGTGGATCTCTGTGAGTTTGAGGCCAGCCTGGTCTACAGAGTGAGTTCCAGGAGAGCCAGGACTACACAGAGAAACCCTGTCTCGAAAAACCAAGAAGCAACAACAAAAGAAAAACTGTCTGCATGAAATTAGAAGCCTTAGGCACATCTAGTGCCATTTAAGCAATGGGTTTCTTGATGTCACTGGCCACAGAGAATGTTACTATATTCTTTGCTGCCTGAGAGACAGACATTTTCTGAAACTGGCTGAAGTCAACTCAAACGGTACTGATGGGATGCTCACTGGGAGCTAGAACTGCACTAGGGAGACTTTCCAAAGGTACAATCTCAGCTTTCAAATGATCTGATAATAATGGAGGACAGACAGACAGACTCACGTAAATTTTAAAAAGGAAGGCTATATAAACACACACACACACACACACACACACACACACACACACACTCCATATCTGAAGCTGTGCCCAGGCTTTCCCTTTGTCTAGAATGCTTTGCTCCAGGCTCACCCTCAGATGCTTGCTAGCAGCTTAACAAGGTCAGCCTAGAGCTCACCTCTCCTCTCCTATTACCTTCAGTCCACAGGTAGGGTTATCTGAGCTAAGGATTTGGATTTAAACTTTTACAGTGTTGTGCATTTTAACCACAGGGTGTGTGTGTGTGTGTGTGTGTGTGTGTGTGTGTATGATGTGCAGATATCTGTAGAAGCCAGAAGAGGGTGTCAGATTCTCTGGAGCTGGAGTTACAAGTGGTCCTGAGCCACCCAATCTGGGTGCTAGGAACTAAACTAAGTTCCTCTGGCCGAGCGGCAAACACTTTCAACCACTAAGCTATTTCTCCAACACCCTCCCCTCTTTTAACACAGGGTCTCATGTAGCCCAGGCTAGTCTAGCACTCACAACATAGCTACTAAGTCTGACGGTGACCTCCTGATTCTCCGGTCTTCACTTCCCAAGTGCTTGGATACAGACACAAGGCAAATGTGCACAGCTGAGTATGTTTACAAGACCATGAGAAACGACCTCTTCATAGACTAGAAAGATCAGCTGCAAGCCAAAGAAAGATGGCAGAGGTGAGAGAAGAACAGAGTAAGAGATGCTGTGCAAACACAAGACCCGAGTTTGGTCCCCAGAACCATGTCAACTCCAGACATGGTCGTGCATGCCTGTAATTCTCGTGCTCCTATGGCATGGGACTGGAGGCCAAGACTAGAGAACCCTGAGGAGCTCCCAGGTCACTAGCCTGCTGTCCCCAGCAACAAACCAGGTGGAGGATGGCGAGGGCCAAGCCCTGAAGTGGGTAGTCCTCTGACCACATATGTGCTCTGCTATGCGAGGGCCTGCACTCATACATACCAATACTCAGAGGTGTGCACGCAGGCACACACACACACACACACACACACACACACACACACCATACACACATAGGAAAATTTTTTTAAAGCATTTAAAAAAAAACAAAAAACAAAACCAGCCAAACCCAAAACCCACAAACTCCAAACAGACCAAGACAACCAGGGGTGTTTTCTGAATATTAAACCAACAAGTCTACACTCAAGGCAGCCAGAGCAGCCTCTTTGCCCGGGCAAATCCCGTGTGTACTTATGGGAGTGACCCTGAAATCTGTGGTACCAATCTGCTTCCCCTCCTCATTAGAAGGCTAAGAGGCAGGCACGAATGATGGGTCAGTGGTCAGACCTGTTGCTCTTGCACAGGACCAGGATTTGGTTCCCAGCATCCACCTGGTATTTCACAACCATCTTTAACTCAAAATCCAAAGGATCCTATAACCTCTTCTGACCTTCTCAGCAACAGGTATGCGTGTGGTGCACATACACATAAAATAAAGTCTATAAATAAACCAACCAACCTGACAGGGGGATGTCCTGGTTAGTGTTTTGTCAACTTGACACAATCTAGATTCATCTGGCAAGAGAAACCTCAACTGAGAAAATGCCTTCATCAGATTGCCTTTAGGTAAGTCTGTAGGACATTTTCTTCATTAATGACTGATGTGCGGGAGCATCCTAACATTGGGGCCGAGGTGGCAGGAACGGTGGCACACACCTATCACGCCAGCACTCAGGAGGACAAGGCAGAAGGCTCACTGGGAGTTCAAGACCAGCCTGAGCCACACAGTAAACTTAAATAGTTCTCAGGCTTGCTTGTCTAAGTGATCAGATCCGCTCCTTCTTGGTCTAGGAATACATTTCTGTGCCAGTATCACCCGGCAAATGCAAGGCCCCATGTGCAATCTCCACCATGGCAAAAAACAAACAACAAAACCCCACCTTTTCTCTCCTGTCTCTTTAATTTTTTTTTTTTTAAGATATTCTCACACTGTAGCCCAGGATGGCCTCAATTTCACAGTAATCCTGTGGCCTCAGTGTCCCGGGTGCTGGGATGTAGGTACAAGTTACTACACCTGCTTCTTGAGTATTCTGTCTACCACAGTCTCCCAGTTCTGTGGGTCACAGCATATAGCATTAGCACTTTCCAATCCCAATTAAAACCACAAAAACACAGGCCTCTGGCTGATCTGAGCATAAACTATAACTTCTTGTTAGAATAGTTATCCTATTTCCTTGGCTAATTTGAAGGCCCTAAAGGATCTTTAAAGCTAAGAGAGAAAGAGAGGAAGAGAGGGAGGGAGAGAGGGAGGGAGGGAGGGAGGGAGGAAGAAAGACAGAAAGAAAGAAAGACAGACAGACAGACAGACAGACAGACAGAAAAAGAAAGAAAGAAAGAAAGAAAGAAAGAAAGAAAGAAAGAAAGAAAGAAAGAAAGAAAGAAAGAAAGAAAGAAAGAAAGAAAGAAAGACCTTTCTAGTTATTTTGCTTTCTGCATTTGCCTGGCAAATAGATAATCTACTTTTTCTTTTTCCAGATTTTAGGACAGAAGATTTAGGCTCAAAGCAAAACTAAGTGGAAACTATCTGAGTCCCCTCCAGCTCCAGAGGACTTTACCATTACACAGGCCAGCCTCTCCATTACCAACATCTGCTATGGGAGTGATCTGTAGATGAGAACCTACACTGAGACATTAACACCCACAGCATATGAGGAGATGGAATACATGTCCCAACACACACACCATATAGTACCAGACAGGAGGCTCCACTGCCCTACAAATCCTCTGTGCTATACTTCCTCAACCTTTAATTCCACCCAGACAATCTTTTAAAAGATGCCACCAAAGCTACAGGCATTGGGTCTCTGTATTGGACGAACAAGAAGCGAATGAAGCTAGAAATCAAGTGCTGACTCCAGCAGGTAGCTCTGCAGAGCTGGGAGGAGGCCCGGTGCAGGGAAAACACTGTGATGACTTACCCTTGCTCTCGAAACACACTTCAAACATGTCATAATCTTCCGTGGTAAAGGCAAACTTCCCCTTAGTTGCATCCTCTTTGGCATATAGAATATGGCCAGCAGAATCTGTAATCTAAAGAATAAAAAAGTTACTTAGTAAAGAACTCCGAGGAAGGGTAATTATAGAAACTGAGGAGACAGATAACATAAAAAAGACAGTCAGGGGTTGGGGATGTTGCTCAGCTGAAGAGGGCACACATAAAGCCCTGGGTTTGATCCCCAGCACCATATAAAAACTGAGGGTGGTAATACACACCAGCAATCCCAATACTGCCCAAGTGGAGGGAGGAAAGTCAGAAGTTCAAAGTCATCCTCAACTACATAGTGACTTCAAGATCAGTCAAGTTTATGAGACCTTGTTTCAGAAAACAAAACAAACTACAAAGACCATGGGGAGCTGGAGAGATGGCATGCACTGCTCTTTCTGCACCAATGTCCAGTGGCTAACAACCACCTGTAACTTCAGCTCCAGGGCATCTACTGTCTCCAGCCTTCTGGGGCTCCTGCACTCATGTGTACATACCCACACACAGGCACACATGTACACACAACTAAAATTAATAAAGCTTTTTAAAAGACACAAGGACTGGACTAAAAGATAAAACACCCCAAACAACAGTAAAAGCTTGTCCATTCAAATAGGTTAAACTCTAACTCTCTCTCTCTCTCTCTCTCTCTCTCTCTCTCTCTCTCTCTCTCTCTCACACACACACACACACACACACACACACAAATAAAAAAATGAATCTTAGACATAGAGGATAAGCCTAACTTTCTCTTCAAAAAGACACCTTTGCTGCAAACAAGACATGGAAAGAGGACAGATGGAAGAATGCCTTGCAAAGGACCCGTGCTAGAGGTGCACAGGACTGCGGAAGAATGTAGTGCAAAGGACCCGTGCTACAGGTGCACAGACTCCGGAACACCATGGTGGATGTGGGGGAATAAGCGGAAACTTAAGGAAGAACATCAACCAAGTGAAGACAGTAGAGAGCTTGCAGCAGCTGACAGTCTTCTCGGATGTACACAGCGCTGCTGTCTGCACTCACACCTCAGAGACCAGCAGGCAGCCACAGGGGTCATGACCTCAGCAAAGGAACACTTGGCCCTGAAGACTCCTCAAAGCCTCTGTTCATGGGATACTTTTCCTGGATAATCAATTAAGGGAAAAAGAAAGCAAGCAAACTGCTTGATAACCCTGACTATACACATACTATAAGCAAAAAGGTCTGGAAACTAATCAAACCCCAAACTAATGCAGCCAGCGTGGTGCCACACTTCCTTCTTCAGAAACAGTTCACCCACTAAACACTCACTTCCCTGCCGCCAGCCTCCCCAAAGCACACTGACAACTCTAAAGGACAGTTCAAAAAGGCAGACTGAAGAGATGCTCAGCGGTTTAGAGCACTTGTTGCTTTTGCAGAGGACCTGGGTCTGATTCCTAGCACCCAAAGGTGACCTCACCACCGTCCAGAACTCCAGTTCGAGGATATGACACGCTCTTCTGGCCTCCTCAGTTACCAGGCACACATGTGATACAACATACATACACACAGGCAAAATATCCATACATATAAAATAAATATGAAAAAAATTAAAAAGGCAGACTAGAGGAACAAAGCCGATGTGAAAACCCCAAGTTGGTTAATGTCCTACGAATGGTGTCTCAGACAACACAGAACTCTAGAGTGACTCTGGGTGAAAGAGACTTCATTATTGCTTGCGCCATTAGTCTAGATCTACAGGGAGTGGAAGTCGGTTGTTAAGATTCCTTTACTCGGAAGAGAGCCAGTGCAGGCCAACAGGGAGTAAGCAGGAAGCTTCCAGCAGTGAACCAGCAGAGATTCCATCTTCTCCACACTCAGGCAAGGACCAGGCCAGGTCACTGGCCTAGACAGACAGCTCAATTTAACAGCATTTGTAAGAGCTGGCACACATTTGCCCAACCATCTTATTTCCTAGAAGAGAGATTATGATCACTTTAATTTTCTCCTAAAATATTAAAAGTGTCCTTTAATGATTTTTTTCTTATTTAATGAAAGGAGCCATTTCGGATTATAAAAGTACTTAAACACAGGTCCTAAAACTCTTGTTAAAGCATTGGTAACAATGTTGCATGGAGTGATTTGAACAGAAATCAAGAACTCAGCTGTGTTCCTCTGAAGGGCTCCACAACAATTCATACCTCCAACTGGTACTTCTCAATGTCCCCCTACATTGTGCAGAGAAACTACAATCATGGAAGAACTACTTGCTCTGTCTGTTCCATGACACCTGAAAATCCATTAGAGGTTAAGTTCATTCTAGGGCAAAGACTCAACTGCATTACTAGAGCGCTGAATGAAAGACCCACCTTTTGTTTTCTTTAGATTTAATTTTACATGTGTGAGTATTTTGCCTGCATGTATGTACATGTAACACGTGTGCCTAGAGGTCAAAAGACGACATTGTACACTCTGAAACTGGAGTTACAGTTGGTTGTGAGGTACCGTGAGGCTGCTGGGACTGAACCCAAGTCCTCTGCAAGAGAAACAAAGGCTTTGAACTGCTGAGCTGTCTCTCCAGCCCCAACCTGTAGAGGTCTCAGCTTACAGAAAGCACTAGAGACCAGAACTGTCACACACACACACACACACACACACACACACACACACACACACACACACACACACGGCCTTTTTTCTTATGGGAGGAAACGGTGCCTGTTCACCGGAAGGCCGGAGTGGATGGTGTCTAACAACCTGGTGATCTTTTGCTGTTCTACAGTGCCAGGCTTCATCTAAATCCCCCAAATCCCGAGCAATCCTCTCAGTCAACAGGACACATCTTTCTGCTTATTACAGGCCCTTCCTCCCTAGACCCTAATCCAGAACACTTTTATCAATCAATAAAATTCATTCTTATGGCTAAGGTCACAAGTGCTTGGCTGGAGAGATGTAGCCATGCCTAAAGCTTTGTTGTGTTGTGACAACTTGTCATATGGAAACTTGTCTCCAAAGTTTACTGTGTTTAAATGTGAGAAAAAGAAACGGCTTGGTCAGACTCTAGAAGCAGCTGACCCAGCACCAGCTAAGTCATGCTGACCAGAGTTTCATTTTTACCTCATGAGGATCATTTCTCTGGTAGCTGTGACGCTTGCAGGGGCCCCCACACCAACTCCAACCACCGCCTTTCATCAGCATGAAATCTGCCTTCCAGAAATAATGTGTAATGATGCTTAGTGCTCCTTTGGCCATCACAATTCTATCCTTCCCCGGCGGTGGTGGTGTACGCCTTTAATTGGGAGGCAGAGCCAGGTGGATCTCTGTGAGTTCGAAGCCAGCCTGGTCTACAGAGCAAGATCCAGGACAGGCAAAAACAAACAAACAAACAAACAAAAAAAAACACAGAGAAGCCCTGTCTTGAAAAAGGAAAAAAAAATTCTTTCCTTATCACTTAGGTTAACCCAAACATGTAAGAGTAGTCATTTGGATACTTAGAAATCTAAGCACCTGAGCTTTCAAGTTGGATTAACACATACGAACTGCTGGGTATTCTAACAGATCTTAATATTTTCCTGAAAACCAGTAAGTTTTCTACCAAGTACAAATAACTGCAGTTACTTAATAGCAAAGCTATTAGTCTCACAAAGAAAAAACAACAACAACAACAACAACAACAAAAAAACCAAATCGCATCCCCTAACCCCAACACCATTATATAAACCAGCAGGTGCTAAAACTAAAGAATAGGAAACTGGGCCAAACTCAGTGATTGATTACAGCCGACAGTCTATGGGCTGAAATGATGAATTAATCTAGTTATTGGTTTTCCAGGTAGGGTTTTGCCTTGTGGTAGTGGATAGCCTGGAATTTGTGGTAACTCTCCTGCCTCAGTCCCCTGAGTGCTAGGATTGCAGTCCAAGCAAATGATGTTGCTTTTTGTTTTGTTTGTTATTGTTCCGGTTTCTCAAGACAAGGTTTCTCTGTATAGGCCTGGCGTCCTGAAACTCCCTCCATAGACCAGACTGGCCTTGAACTTAGAAACCTGCCAGCCTCTGCTTCCCTAGTGCTGGAATTAAAGTCGTGTACCACTACACCAGGCACAAATGATGTTTTTAACTTTCCTTTAATTACAGAACTCTTATTACAGCTGGGCTGGAACTCAACAGGCATCAAACTTGGGTAATCTTCCTAAAGGGTCCGACTCCTGAAGCCTAACTGCTCAGTGAAGGATTACAGCCATAAATCACCCTGCACTGCCATGCCCGGCTAAACAACAAAATACTTGTAGTGATCACCATAGGATTCTCGGATTAAACAAAGCTAATATTAAAATTTTGTCCACAAATGACATCATGGAATAGGAAGTAATAAAATGTTGTTTCTAGGTAACAGTTTCTAATGAAAAGCAAACCCAAATTCACAACTTGAAAAGCGAGGAGAAGGTGTTAATTGTATAAGCACAGTATCTGATGTCAAGACGATGTGAATACTCACACCGAAACCGTCAACGGAGTGAGAAAATGGCTCACTGGGGAAGTAGGCATCTAGAATTCTATCTTCTTGGACTAGTCTAAGCAGTGGTTAGGAGCAGGTTCTTGAGTTGGTCCCGAGGCCTGCCTGCTGACCAGTTCCGTCACTAAACAAGGTAACAACCTGCCCCAATGTAGAAGGGACTGTAGATAGCTCCGGCCAATAAAACACTTAGGGATAAAACAGACAGTGTTCACGTGGAGGGAGGGAGGGACAAGTGTTTCAAGAGCCTGGGTCTGTACAGGACCTTTGACCTGAAGTCTGCTTGAACAATTTTTTTTTTCAAGACAGGGTTTCTCTGTGTAGCTTTGCGCCTTTCCTGGAACTCACTTGATAGCCCAGGCTGGCCTCGAACTCACAGAGATCCTCCTGGCTCTGCTTCCTGAGTGCTGGGATTAAAGGCATGCACTACTGGCTTTTTTTTTTAAAAAAAAAAAAAAAAAAAACCATGAACAATTTATCAGGAAGGTCTCTGTCATTTTTAACCACAGCCTGCCAAAGACACAAATGGAGTGAGTTCACATGGGCGCTCTTAGTGACCTGACCCTCTGTACTGATG